ATCCTGCCTGGTACCTGTCTTCTGCTGGGGGGAACAAGCTCACAAACATTCAAAACAGCTGCCAAAAGAGGGACCAAATATACATATGCAATTTATCTCACTTGAGCTCTTCTGGGGAAGACAGCAATGAGCAAGGATGTGTTACTGAACACAGCACAAACAGTGCATGTACTTAACAAAATGTCATATTGTGCCTTGGAGATCATCAAAGGTGACAACCTAAGAAATGCCCTTAGGTGTTCCTTCAACTGACAACTGGAAGGAAAAAAACATTGTTTAATTCAATTTCCAAGTGCAGAGATTTATCTTCATGGGAAGACAAAACCCCTGTAAATGTGTTTTGATAAATTGTGCTTCATTAAAGAAACAGGACTGATACAGGGTGATACTCACCCTGCTTAATCCAGATTCTATTTAGGCTGCTATTTTCTGCTGGAAGATACCCTTTAGCACCACCTCCCATTAACAGTGAAACACTGGATATAATCAGTATGTCCAAGTTACAATCTAGGATGAATGTAGGCCACAATCACTGTGTGCATTTAAAAAGGAATTACTTGGATTTTATTTTATCTTTGGGAATTTCCATCTAGAAGGTTACAGATCTAAGTAAAGACAGTTGGGTAATCAAGAAAATGTGCAGTCTGGGTCTAAAGATCTGAGGGTATGGAGAAGTAAATAAATTTTTAAAAAAATTTACAAAAGAGGAGTTTGATTTTGTTACAGAGTTTTTGTTTCTCTATGACACCAGGCATCAGATCACAATCACTTTATGATCATATTTATTGAAATTATTTCAAAATACACATATCAATTCATACTATTCATAACTACCATCCTCATTATGGGATATGTATCAAACAAACAGGGTATTTCCATTTGCTTAAGTAATACAAGGGAACAGTCATGTGAGCACAGAATATAAAATCAGAATATAAAATAAGGCAAGTGTGAAAGAAGCATTAGGCTTAGTAGTCCTTTACTAGACAAACAGATTTTGCTGTCAAGTTTCAGAGGAAAACTTTTAACAAACATATTGTGAAAAACAAAATTGACTATGGTAAACAAACATCTTCCTTCAAGGCACTGCTAACTTTTAGTATCTATCTGAAAATAATTCAGCAAATTAGTTGATAGAAATATACTAAGCAATAAAAAACCACAAAATCTCTTTGGTTAAATATAAAGCTGAACACAAAAAAAAAGCAGATGAAGTTTCTGTAAGGAAGTTTTTGGGCAGAATTTGGGGTATGACAGAACAAACATTATACAACTACATAGGTGAAGTCAATTGCCAACAGTAAATTTTGACACATCAATACCTCCCATTAGAAGCTGTAAAGTTTGGAACTTGGTGGTTTATTTTTTCACTAAGAATTATGCACATTCTAGCATAATGAAGTAACAAGACTACGAAACTGTTAAACTAGTAGAGAACTATTTTCTAAGCATGTAACTTCTGGTTCTCTTTATGAGATATCTCATTTAGCTTTGTGCTTTCATCTGTCCAAGCGTTCAGCAATGGCAGATTGTTTTGAGCTGCTGTACAAAACTTCCTACACAGTCTGAGTGGTACAACTGAAAACATGTTTTCTCCTACAGATTTGCATTCAGTCTTCCCTGTACATGTCTAATTGTAAGTCACCTCAACTTCTGCTTTCTGTCCCTCAGGACCCTACACAACACCACAATGCCATTCCTTCCCATGTTCCTCAAATGTCCTCACATCTAGTTGCTTCCTCACTATCCACACCTTCCTGTTTCAGGGGAGCTTCCAGCTAGAACTGAATCATCATGCAGCTAATTGTGGTCAGACAACACGTGCTAGGTAGCTCAACACTTAGGGTGCCACGCATCTCAAAAACCTCCCCTGCCCCTAATGTACTAATCAGTTTCTTTTCAATTTTCATTGCTCAGCAATGTTTCATTGCTCAGTCAACTATTCAAAGGCTCTGAGGCACAATTTAAAGGCAGAATATAAACCTAAATTTCTGGCCAAAAAAGTCAGAGGCACACAGGCGCTGATTCCAATAGCAACATCAGTACTGATGAGCTGTCCCTCTCTTCCCCAGATTATGTGAATCAAAGGAACCACAGCTAATCAATTTTGCTGAACAACTGCAGGGTAATGCTTAGGTCTCCATACTAAAGAAATATTAATGCAGTTCTATTTGAACCCCCATCTTCACTAGGAATTTGGTCTCACACCTATTTGTGTCTACTTTGGACTTAAGGGCAGGAAGAATTTGCAGTGTAGCAGCTTAAACTGCTAGGAAACGGGCCTTCAGGATTCTTTTGCAGATTTCAACCTTTTCCGCTATGAAACTGGTAAGGCTTTTGCTGGTCTAAAATCCAGTAAAATATCCCCTCTTGCAAGAAAAGGTTTTAATCTTGGAAGACAAAATTTGCCTAACAGTTGTAGTTAAGATTCAGTCTACCAATGTAAGCCTGTTGTTAATGTTTTGTTATTAAAACCAATTCTGTGGATCCTTACACTTAGCTCCAACTGCTGTTTGAAAGAAATTTCACAATTTTTTTGGATTTTATTTGGTACCTCCTGGCTTGAATGAAGTAAAAAAAAAAAAAAAACTGCCTAGAGTTTTAAGATTTTTTTAAAGTTATGAAGTTTTGTTCTATTCAATGCTAAGATCATAAAGCAACTACACTGGGAATGTTTTGAACATACACAACACATACTTCTCAAAAGATAAATTTCAAGATTTCCAGAGCTTCTTGTGGTAATTGGAGCAAGAAAGCAGAGGTTATGCCATTGAAGTTGACCATAAATTATGCCAATTACTTAATATTTACCATTTAATATTGTTTGTTCTACCCCTCCACAGGGCAGCCCAAAAGGATTTAAACCTAGGAGAACATGCATAGAGTAAAACCTCTTATGATGAAAAACTACTAACCAACCTAAAAATAAACACCAAACCCCTTAGAAAAAGCAAGGAGAACATGCTAGAGGCAGGTCAAGGCAAAGCCATAGTTTCAGCAGCCAGTCTGACCAAGCTTATATAGTCCTAAAAGATCTAAGATGTGCTGCTTCTAAAATCCATGCTTAATCCAGGTTTTCCCTGCTAATGCCAAAAAATTATCTCTCTGTATAAGTTGCCTATGTTAGCGAAGACTTTACAGCCCAACTGCAAGATCAGGTAGGAATGCTACATGAAGGCAGAAAGATTAACATTTTTGATTAACTGGCAGGTTTTTTTTTCCAGACAGTATCTAGCCTCATTTCCATTGCAAAATATACTAATACTGCTTTATTCAGAATGTAATTCTTAGCTCTCTAAAGTAAAACTATCTTTTTTACTATTTAACTGCCTACAGGAAACACATTACTACGAACTCTGAAATGTGCCAAAAAATTTACAAATGTTTACCAGAAGTAAACATTTTAAAACTGCCCACACTTACTTGCTGCAATAAAAGTATCAATTGTATCCATGAGAAATTTATATAAAAAACTGTAGATGCATTCTGGTTTTAATAGTGCATAGAAAGTCCAAGGCAAAATACAATAAACACAATATCTAAGCAAGGGGAATCTTTAACAGTGTCCACTCCTTACAGTCAATCACCCAATGGTTTTATAATTCTCATTGTGTCTTATTTGGACCTTAACTTGTAGTTCTTGAAACTGGAAAATAAATTATGAAAACAAAAAAGCCTATGTCAGACTGGATTTTATCTCCTATTTCCAACAAAACAGCCAACGCTAGGATTTCTGATATTTTTCAAACCCCTAAGAACATTAAAATAGAAAAAAAATCAAGGAAGGAAATTAAATTTGGTTTATCTATTTTTTTCAATATTCCTTTATGTTCAAAGAAAAATGACCAATACAAAGAAGTACTGTGTATTTTTTTTTCTTTCACTTTCTTATGGAGTCTGCAAGTGCTGCCTTTTTCCTTACATTTTTATGGAGAAAAGATATTTTTCTGAAGACTTCCTCCTCTCAAAATTGAAGTTTCAATTACTTCAAGCAAAGACAACTGACGCAACCATCTGTCTTCTTATTAGCTAAACATTTTCAATTGCTGAATGCATAATATAACTAAACAGTATTATGGCAACACACTCTTCTAAAGTGTGTAAGCCACATAAGATACTCTAAGTCATTAACAGCAGCGTTAAATTTTTTGTGTAAGAGTAGTAGTGGTATGTATTCATGCTGCTTCATCCTATTATCCTGAAAATTTTAGCTGCTCAAGACCCACTCTGTGCTTTGCAAGGAGTGTAAGAAACAACAGCTTGCTGAAAGAAGCAGAAGTACCAACTAGACAGTGTATGATCGGAAGCTTATACAGGTATATTCCTGAAAATTCAGCACTCCATATAAATTATAATAACCAAACTGATTTTGCAGACCCACAGAGTGCAGTTGAGTTTTTCAAGCATAAGGAATTATTCCAGTTTTAGTCTGAGAAGGTACTGTTTCCCCAATACTTCTTTCATCAACTCTGAAATATCTGAGCTATATGGTATCTAAATGTTTAGCCTATTGAGGACTACAATATAGTAGAACTAAGAATAAAGCTAAGATAAATTAGAATGAACACATTTTACTATTCAGAGCAATTGCAACTCTCTCAATGTTTCATTTAAGTCCTGATAAAGATTCCCCTTTCACCATTTCTTTAGTAAAAACAGCTGCATCACATTTGCTTCATCAGCTAGTAAAAGGCATTTTATTTGGTGGAATACTTTTTTGATTGTACATATCCAGTTTTATAACACTCAGATAATATAACCACTCTGTATTAACCATTTTTTCAATGAATACAACACTAGCTCCAATTTGGGAGATAAAAATCAAACAGATCAATCGTAAACCAACAACGAGCCTAATCACATAAAAAAATGCCCTGCTAGTACTAAAGTGTTACAGATAAACATCTAAATACAATACATCGTATTATCATTAGTACAAAATGAGTAGTTTCAGAGCTATTTTAAAAACATCTTGTTTCTCAAATGTAGAGGATTTTACTTCAAAATATAGTGAATGTTTAAGTGGCCGCATACATCTTCTGTAATTTTATGATGATTTCTACTTCTATTGGCTTAAATCTCCTGCAATGAAAAAGAATAAACACATTTCATTAAAATACGAATTCTGTTATTTTGCTGTTTAGTATTTTCCCATATTGTTTGAAAATAAACTTCATTCTAATCAATAAATCAATTTTTTTTCAATGGTCCAATGGACCACTGCAAAACTGTTCAGGTTAGAAAAGACCTCCATGACATCAAGTCCAACCATTAACTCAGCACCACTGTATCTAGCAGAAATCCATAACCCTAAGTGCCACATCCACACACCTTCTGAGCATGGTTGAGGATTCCATCACTTCCCTGGGCAACCTTGTGCTCCCGTGCCTAACCACCCTGTCCATGAATAAAGCTTTCCTAATACGAAACTAAACCTCCCCTGATACAACTTGGTATTTCCTCCTGTATCACCATGTGTTACTTGAACGGACTCATCCCCACCTTGCTACAAGCTATTTTCAGGGAGTTACAGAGAGCAACTGGAATTTATCATTTGAAGACATTAAAACTTTTGACACAGTATAGGAAGACAAAGCAGGTGATTCTCAGAGAAGAACCCTTATTTATTGACTCACTGCTATGTGTCAAAAGAACTTTGTAAGAATAGAGCCTCAAATTCCAACATAAGAGAAATTCTTGTGAGCTGGTTTTGACTGGAATAATTTTTTTCACAGCACATGCCATAGGGCTAGGTTTGGATTTGTGCTGGAAACACCACTGATAGCACAGTTATGTTTTAGGTATTGCTCTTAGGTGCTTACACTGTCACAAGGCCTTGTCCTCTCCCTCGCCAGCAAAGGAGGCTGGGGAATACAAGGAGCTGGGAAGTGATACAGCCAGAGCACCTGCCCCCAGCTGACCACAGGGATTCTCCCTCCCATAGGGCATCGTGCTCAGCAGGTAAAGCTGGGGGAAGAAAGAGAAATGGAAGGGGCACACATTCTGAGCCACAGCACTAGTATCCCTGATTAACCCAAGCAGCTATTACACATGTTCAAACATGATGAAGCCCTTCTTTCCTGGAGACAGATGAACACCTGCCTGCCCATAAGAAAGAGTGAATGAATTATTTCCTTTGTTTCTGTGTTCAGCTTTTGTTTTCTTCTGTCAAGCTGTCTGTATCTCAGCCCCTAAGCTCACCCATTTTTACTCATCTGATTCTTCCCCCATTCCACCAGAGAGTAAAAGCAAGTGGCTACATGAGGCTGAGTTGCCAGCTGTGATTAAACCTAAGAGGAACAGAGATCATATAATCTTGGAAAACATTTGTTCTGAATAATTTTCTGAGCTTTAACTCTCTTTATGTGAACTCCACCTGACATGTCTCCTACTGTTCTTTGGCAGGGCAACAATCTTTACTCAGGCAGATGGCTTCTGGTAAGGATGAACCAGCAGCCACATGAATGAAAAGTCATTCACACCTCTCTTCCACAGATCAGAGGTTAAGGTGCCAGATGCAGAAGGGAAACAAGTATGTGTAGGACTGGTCCTCAACTGACAGACTGCTCTGACAAGCACTTCCAGATGGTGGAAGCAGAAACAGTCTATAATCAGACTGTGAAGAGGGAAGAGAATCAGGAAATGCATTATATAGCTTTAGCACTACACATTGGAGGCCTGTGAGCTTACCAGGGCTGTGCCCTGGAGAGTACCTCACAGGCTCCGGGAATTCCCCTTCAGTAAGGGTGAGAAGAAAGGAATGATGGGAGCAATTATGCAGACTAAGTTATTCCATATAAGGTTATGTTACAAAGCTTTCATATAAGGTTATGTTACAAATCTCTTACTTACCTTTAAAGGAACCTTCACTCTCTGCATAGAACTACTTGTCCTTCTCAGTTACGTTGTCTCCGGATTTACTACGAGAAAAAAAGGGTAAATTCCAAAACTGAACAGTAAGACAGCACAATCATTCCCAGTCTCCTTCTAGAATAACTGCAACTAGGTTTTATGCTGTGCATCACTAAAGAGACTTGAATTAAAAGTTCTCTTGCTAAAAAAAAGTTTGTGATTCACTAGGCTCCCATTTAAATACACTGCTGGATGTGACATTTAATTATAGCCTCATCAACCAAATACAGCTGTATTAGTCATCCCCTGACATAACAGACCAGACGTGTTCTTTAGGAGCCACTCTCTGGTACACAAATCCATCTTCTAAACAGCCATAGTTGAAATAGCTTTCATTTCTTCAGTCAGGGAAGTACACAGTTAAACAAATTTTCTTCATATATGTTTATCTAAGAATTACACAATAAAGATTAAGCAGCTGTAGAGAACTACATCCCACATTGACAAAAAAATTATTTTAGTGAACTATTCTGTTTTACCATCCTAGTATTTTCAGCATGTTTATGAGAAGCAGGCTATGCAATGAAAGCAATTTTTCAATTTTCAACTCAAGACATATCCCCAAACATTCAGCAGTATGATATAATACTATATTCCCAAGACATACTCCCACTTTATACTGTAATTTAATTAGAGCCTTAAGTCTGTTCAGATGAGTGAAAAATAACCATAATATATTTTCAGCACTTAAAAAAGGAATGAGAAAGTGAATACAACACAGAAAAACAAAGATCGTTGCAGCAAAACAAAAAAAAAATCAAAGCAGGAAAGAAATTAAAGGGCCAGAAGAAAAGGGGAGACAAACACAGCAGGAGAAAAGGAAGCAAGATGACAAAAACTAGAGTAGACTGGACACGTCTAAAATGACCTGTTGGGCAACTTTCCTCTTTTAAGAGGTAAACAGGTTAAATAAGGGGAACCTGGCTTCAGGGGACAGGCAGAGAGACAAGTATAGCATACTTAAGCAAGCAAGCCTGAAGAAATACATAATCCTAAGGACAGGGGAGCCAGCAGGGGAGCACAGACCCTGGAACTGCAGAACCGCAACAGAAGTGCCAACACCTGCTCATTTGGTTGCAGCAGCGCAGCCCAGGAAGCCCAAGGTACCACCACAGTGTGAAATCTCCTGAGAGGTTGGAATTAGCCCCCAAAACAGCCAACCATGCCAGCTCCCAAGATGCCAGCAACTACAGGCTTAGATATGAGAGTTAGGGCTTTGACCACATGCAAAGTAGAGAAATGTATGTTAACATGGACAAATACACTTTGGGCGGAAAAAAACCCTGTCACAAACTGCCAAAACAAACAAACAAAAACAAAACGAAAAACAAAAACCCCAAAAAAACCAAACCAGGGTCACTTCTGATACACTTTCACCTGGAAATTATTTCCATGCAGTTACAGTCTTCTAGAATGAGCTTATAATGAGGACACATCGTGCTCTCACAAGAAGAAACAACAAAAATCCAAAACCAACACAAAACAAATAAACAAAAAACACCACCAAAAAAAAAGTAATTTCAAAATCAACTTCCACACAGAAAATAAATGGAATTAGAAATTCCTAAGGAAAAGAATAAATCGTTCTTTCACATTGACCACCACCCCCCTTGCCAAGGGGGTCAACAACAATGTATAATTTTGTACAACACAAATACACATAAGAACAAATACTGAACTACAGTATAGGAACTTTTTTGCTTACAGTTGCTCAATTTGGTCAAATTCTTTTTCACCTCCTGCAGAACAAAAAAAAGTACTATGTAGAAGTATCCATTTAATAAACAATAGAATTTTTTTTGTTTAGTACATTTAGTAATTGCTTAATCAGTACAGGATGTTATTTTTAAATTTTGTTAGTTTTCTTAAACATTTATTTCAAATTATCTTTTTTATCTATTCAAGGGAATCACCTCCAAAGTGGTGAAGAAGCCTATTTTGATAAGGTTTTATTAGTCTGATTTTAATACAATCTTTTTTATATACATAGGTTTATACATTTCAAAATACAGATAACATGCATTTATGTCTGTATTATTACACCATTATTAGAAACATGCATTTCTCCTTTTTACTAAATGTCTTTGAAGACACTTCTCCCATCAAGGCTAGCAAGAATTGATTCCATTTCTAAGCATTCTCCTAAAAATTACAGCCTCAAAATTCTTATATTGTAAGGGAAAAAATCCCCAAGGACTTTCAAAACGTTTATGGATAAGTATTGCTTCGTGAAAGCTCTTTTCATTGCACTGTTTTAGATGAAAGAATTTTCAGAAATACAGATGTGAAAATGACTTAACTACATATATGCTGCACTACAGGTCTTACTTTTCTACCTTTGGCTGTAATTTCGACAGAAAGCTAGAAATTAATTTAAAAAACCCCAACCAAACCCCCCCCCCCCCCCACCAAAACTTACCTTTTGCTTTCCTTTTCTTTGAATACACCTCATAGAGGCCAATAAGAGTTACAAGAATAGCAACTTCAGCCACAACTGCTATAAAGGGTTTGAGAGGTTCTGCGACGGACAGAACTCTAACGTCAAACCTCGCTTTACTGGGCCCTAATACAAAATCAGCTTCACACCAGTATTCGCCAGTATCTGCCACAGTGAGCCTGTGTATCTCCAAACGGCTTTCACTGGCAGATCGGCTCAGAATTTCATACTTGTCTTTAGGCAAAATCTTATCAATGGAAGCCTAAAAAAAAAATACATTGCAAGTATTAATAATGTAATGAGGAGGTATTTAATCAAACTATCATCAACATTCAGTTCTGTAGAGATACATACAATGAGTTAGGAACAAAAGGCATTCACGAAGCGCGATTACCCCACATCAAAGGGAAGGGTTTATTTTAGCTGGACACCCAAATTCCTTCTAAACTCACTGGAAGAAAATACAAAGTTTCAGTGGGCAAATAGTCTGATCTGTTTTAGTTTATTTAAGATGAGATAAAAGGCACCTTTGGCTCTATTGACTCTCGAATGACAAAGGCATCCTTGGCTGCCAGATGTAATGCATGGGTTTCACCACAGCACAAAACATAACTTTCAAGAAGAGAGGAGCTCTCCTTCGCCAGGAAATATACTGATACTCTTAAAAAGGTCAGTGCTAGTCTCCAGACATATTAAGGAGACAGATCTCTTCATCTTCTCTCAGTTGACAGTGCTCAGAAGAGGGCTAAAAGAAAGTGTTTTAGCAAACTGTGCTTTCTAGATTGGTCATAAGGCAAAGAAATAGAATTACTTGTATGTGGAGGAAGTAAAGGGTCCTACAATATCTTACACATGAAAGCATGTTCTGCTGTAAGATGATTTTTGGATCCAGTAGCAAGATTTGAGTAGTACAACTAGTATAAATACAGTAAAAACAAGTCTCTCAAGACTCATCTTATTTGAGTATAGGAGTATATAGGAGTATAGCAGGGCCTTTTTCAAAAAGAAACATATAAACCAGATCAAAAAACTGTATCTCTGTAACAATGAATACTTGTAAATATTACAGACTTTTTTTTCCATTTCCATAAAGATTTCTGCTAAAGTTAATGGAAATAGAATTTGTAGAGCTTGCAGTGAAGCATGAAGTAGTTGTACTTTTTTTTTTGTCCCACTGTTTTGCTTGCCCAACAGAGGGAGATCTTACCAGCTCAGTTCCATTGGTCTTATACCACTTCCAAGCCCTGGGATGATACTCGGTTTTACAAACCATTACACCTGTATCTCCTATATAAGCGATTACGGGTTTTTCTCTTCCATCAATAGTTGGTACTAAGAACAAGGAGAAAAAAAAAAATTGAGTGAGATACAGATTTTCATTAGTATTACAAAGAATATATTTAGGTATTCATTTACAGTACTCCACTCACTTTTTCTACTTAAAGCCCTCATGAGTCTATCATTTATGACATGAGAAGTTATTTTGGGCAGCTATTTCAGATGTATCATTTGTGCAGAAGACAAGTGGAATCCTGTTTCCAGCTGCTGTGTGATCTTGTGAAGTTGCCAATCAATACCAAACTTTAAGTGAAAAAAAATCATACTGTGATTTCTACTCTTGCCCATTTCCTCTTTCCCTTCCTTGGCAGCTGCAAGCTACACGCTTCAGTTCTAGTACACTAGAAACAAACGTATAATTTTCCTGCAATTTCACTCTTTCTGCAGAAACTGCTGGAAGTCTATTTCAGCCACAATGAGACTACATAATGGTATCTCACAAGTTGTACATGCAGAGAATGCTTCTGTAACTGAGAAAAAAATGCAGATTGATAGAGATTTGTAGTTAAACATTTTCTGAGCTGAAGCAATGACTTTTGGGTGCATGCCAATAAAAAGGACTTTTGGTCCAATCTTGCTGAGGACAGAATACAGTCAACAAGAAACAAGGCATCAGTCTAACTTCAGAGCTACTTGTCCTAGCCATTGTCACTGCTTGTGCCCCACAAACTTCCAAAAGCATGTGCCCAGAAAGGCTACTGAATATATTAAGACTATCCTACAGATACTGTTAAGAGCTTAGCAAATGCATTATGCTGAAGTATTTCCACTTCCTTCCTCTCTTTATTACGATGTTTACCAACAGACTTTCCACAGATCCACTCATTTGAAATCTTACTTCAAGTGTCTTTTGCTGTACTTTTTAAGTACAGATCCAGAGCATACTTCAGATTTTATGGATCACACTAGACTAAACAGGCCAAGTATTTGCTTTCGGCAGTTATGATGAACAATCTGATACAAGCTAAGATTTTTCTTGTCCTCACCCCTTCTTGACTGGTGAACACAAATTATTTTTTCCCCAAAGAAGTCTGCTTCTCATGTGTATTCAAACTTATGTTTCCTATCCAGAAATAGCTATGAAACCAATTTGTTAGTAAGAACACTGTTTTCAGTCTCATAATTTGCTGCATCATACATCAAGACTCTTAACTAGTGAAGTTCTCTCAATGTGTATATTTTAATCATTAAACACTCTAATTTTAAAGAGTACTGGCAGTGTATCTTCTCTGCTGCCATTAAAAGGGATGACCTCACCAATTACTGCTGCTATCTCCCTTGCAATTTGGAAGACATACAAGCAGGTCAGGATAAAAAAACCCTGTATACCCAGCACAACAACCTTATGTGGCAGTCAAAAAGATTTAGCCACACTGGTGAATGACAAAGGTCAGCTGTAAGCATGCCAGCAACATATGTGACCACATTAGTCTGGCTCTGTAACAGCTAATCCCTGAATGCATGCAAGGCTTGTAACAGGTATTTTTGCAAGTGGATTACACACCAAATTTCATGACAAAATACTTCTGCTGCACACACAAAGCCAACTTTTGAAGAAACAAACATATAGGTGTCAGCAACAGCATGTACATGAGTCAGATTTCCACACAGTGTTAAAAACCAGAGCTATTTCACGGTGCCCATAACTCAACTGCTGCTTTAAGGATCAACAAAGGGCAAATAAATTAATCTATTCTACCCTTTAGATGCTAGCAGTACTTCACAATATCTTGTAACACCCATTAATGTCCTCTCTGTTTATTAACTTGAACTTTCTGTAAATATCTCATTGTTTTCTGCAAACTTGAGTAAAAACGTAACTCCTCAAAATCTGAGGGGTTATGCCAGGCCAGGAATCAGGGCGGGGGGAAGGACAGGTAACATATGCAATAATCCCTGACTGCCTTGTGGGAAAGATATTGCAGTTAGTTACAGCAGTGATGACTGAAGCCACTGAGTCCATACCAACACATTACTCATCTTTCAGTTTGAAAATTGTTCTCCCTGCATTACTGACTGGAAGATTCAAGGACTTCTCTTTCCCATTTCCTTCACTCTTGCCTTGATCTTAAAAGCATTAAGCCAGTACGTTTTATGGCATCAGAAGTGGCAGCATTCAACCATCAGGCAGCAATTCTCTCATCTTCTTATAATAAATCAACCAGTCCTATGCACTGGTCTGGAAAAGATGACTTTCCTATTGAGTCATTGCTGCCCTTACTGTAATAGTTATTTCGTACTTTAAAAAAAAATTTCTGTAAAAAATTCTCCTTCGACTTTTTCCATCTACACCGACTTGCTTAGTTATTTGATTAAACCTTACCCGCATGCTGACAAGAAAAACACATAATTATTTTTTAGAGATTAAAAGGCTACAACCTTGTCCTTATTCAGCACTGCAATCTAGTCTCTCCTGGCTGAAGGTCTGAAAGCAGGTATCAATGTCTGATATTTGAACCCACGTGAGTTTCCTCAAGTCCTATTACTGGATATCCCACTGAACAAAGGCAGCTTGCAGCTTCAGAATTAGGGAGACCCACTGCTTAATTTAGCTAAGGTTAGGTAATTATTTGAATAGTTAGGTTTTCTCAGAGCCTGTTTAGGGAAAATGTCTCTGTATCTGCCTTTACAGATGCTTGCCTTGCCCTTTGCAAAATCTGGATGGTAGGAATAGAGAAAGGATTAACTCCTGTTAGAGATATTCATCAGCTCAGCAGCTTGTATTATCATTTCCACATATCTTCCATGCATCTGAATTTCACCTACTACTTCCAGGGTAACATTATTGGAGAAGAAAACAAAACAGAAAAAAGGGCACTCATACTGCTCAATGAAGTACACTAATTGTTAATCTAAGTACTATTCTTATAGTATTACAGAAAAAAAGCACTAAAGCAATAATGTAGTGTTTCAGAAATACAAATAAAATTTTAAAAATCCTGCCTCCATTTTACCAATCACTGCTTCACTTTTAACACCGAACCTCAGGCTCAAATTTCAAATTATTGGCTCTTTTTGAAGAAATTTATCTGAGACACCATCTTGTAATCTCATGCCCCAGAAAGTGAAGTGCATTCACATCTGGAGAGGGAAGGGGAAACCAGTTAGTCAAGAAGGGTAAAAAACAGACTTGTATGCTCTTTTCGTTATTAGAATTTTTTTTAAAGCCTTTTAGTTTTTGGCTCAATATTCTTCAATCCATGCTAGAGAAATTACTTCAATAGTTACTTGCACTTAGCCTGACTGCATTAGCCAATACTTATCAAATTACATTGCCATTTTTACTGTCCAGAAAGAATATTAATACAGCTTTGCAGTAGTCAGCTGAACAAAAATGTTAAATAAACACAAATAAATTAAATTACCATTCAAATGAAACGTAGCACTGATTTCTCTTTCAGCCTTCAGAAAACAAGTGTAACTTCCCAGGTGACTGCTCTCTGAGATGGTCACTCTTAACAAAAAGGAAAAAAAAAAAATCACAAATTTTTTATTGCACTACAAGTGACTGCTAATTAGCATTCCAGAAAAAACAGTAAGAATTAGTAATGAAGCAGAGAAGATACCACCGAGACACTAAGATTCAGGTTTACTGCAATGCAGAAATGGTGTAATGTGTTTAAGAAAATAGAAGAGCACAAGCACACTTTGGATCACAAACAACATTTTCACCCTTCATGCTGACAGAAGGACACCTTTAAGCAGCATTATCTACAAATTACTGAGTTAGGATATGCTTCTTAGTTCACATGGTGAATCCACGTCTATGTAGGGCTTCAGGAAGAACAAACCATTTAAGCAATCTTTTCAACACAAAATAAATAAATACATAAATAAACAGTTTTAAAGAGCTTTCATCTAATCAAGTCCAGCATCTTCTCCACTAGCAAACTATACATTTTACTGTCACTTTGAAAAAGATTTAGGTGTCTGTGTATATGGATTATCAAAAAAGTGATACTTATATTCTCATCATATTTTCTACAGAAAAAAATATAAACAAATAGATAAACAATAGATGAAGATAGATAATAGATTATAATAGATAACTAATAGACAATAATAGATAAATAGAAATTTTATCTAAGTATTACTGCACTTACTGATACAGAAATCAAATGGAGGCCAGTCAGTTAAAATGTGTAACTGGCCTAATTCTAAAAAACAATAAATTGTACTGATTATAGAAAGGCTTCTACAACATATTTTTGAGTTTCTGTACAAGTCTGAATGACTTAAGAAAGCCTTCAAAATATCTTTACTGGAAATCTCACTTCTACCTTTTGTTACCTATGAAGGAAAGAAAATGACCATTTATGCCTCCCAGACTTGCAAAGCAGCAATGAGGAGGAAAAGAGCATGTGGAAAATGAGGGAGTGGAAAGAGAAATTGCTACAATATTTTAATCTCAGACTGATTATTATTTCACTTACTAAACAGACTTACTAGACTTTAAGGAACTGCTTCGTTATTCTATGCTCTTTTTTAAAAACAAATTATGTGCACTAGAAGAAAAATAGGAGCTCATCTTCCAGGCTTGAGGTGCCTGCAATCTTTCTCCTTTCTGACAGGACATTATTCTCTGCATTTTTGATTAACCTCTGCATTTTTCCCTTTTCTAATATACATGTTACTAGTATTGGGCACTGTGTATAAGATGGTAACTCATTAGAATCTGCAAATCACAATGTAAAGAATGCTACTTACTTGATGGTCCAGCTGTTTGGAGCATTACTGGTGTGACTGATTGTTTCACTTCCCTTTTTCCATGTCACTTGAGGATTTTTCAAATTGGAATTCTCATCTAATTTGCATGTAAGATCAACTTCAGTTGGACTGGCCACAGAGATATTTTTTTCAGATGGACCTATAAGAAGTTTAAAAACATTTAATGAAAAAATGAATTTCCTCATTCTAGGTAAAGGAACTTTAGACACTGCATTTACATATGCAGGACTACAGGGGGACACAGGTGCTTTTTATACTCTCCAGGGCAAAAAAGCCCCTGCAAAATCAGAGTTTCACAGCAATTTTCTTAACTAGTAACTGAGTTAAAATACATATCCCTTTACAAAATAACACACTCCAAATTTGTAGGTAAACTTCCTAGAGGGCTCTAATACAGAAGCACAAATACTCATTTCACTGAGAGCAAGACAGATTTAAGCTTTTACATTACTTAATCCAAACGAAAAATATTAAATATTTCATATATATATATAAAACTATATTAATGTCAAGAAGAGTAAGACGTAAGTATCTGTAACTATTTGGATCTTAGCCAGATGTAGAGTTTTATGATACTGTGAGATCACAGGTATATCCTGTTGCTGGGGAAGCTACTGATAAAATCTGCACCCTTAACACAGTTGGGTCAGGCCTTTCATGCCTATAGTTACCCAGCTGACATCAAAACCTCTTCAAACCCCTTTAGGGCTACCTTTGCCTTTCTGGCAAGTCAGTAGAATCACAGTAGGAAAATATTACAGTACAAGAGAAAAATTTGTCAGTTTTTTGCTTTTCATGAGTATAGGCTCATAAGCATAAAATAAACTATCAACAGCAAATATTTCTCTGATCCACAGAAACAGCCTCCTATAAGAGAAGACTTTGGATGTTTTACCCATTAGTACTGCCTTTTTTTTTTTTCATAACTGGCCTTTTCATCCACCTATTCCTGGATGGAAGTGTGGTTTGTCATCTAAATACTCCAAGAAAATGTATGCATGCCTCACTTCAATTCTAGACATACCCTATAGTATTTGGTGGTCAAAAACTATAGGTGAATTGCACAGCTCACACTCCTTCCAAGAGAAAATGAAGTTTCAAGGTACAACTCACTGACCTAGTACTGAAAGTCATACATATGCACCAGCAAAGTCTCACTGGAGTGATAGCACGACATCCAGAGTAAGTGAACTTTACTGGGTCTGGCGGAGACATGTACAACCTAAAGAACAGCATATTCAGAACTGCAAGTCCCAGCCAAAGTAATTCTAATCTGTTGAACTGGAGATAAACTTAGAAGTGCAACACCTCAGTCTTCCATTGCAGAGCAACATCAGTCACTGAAACTCATTTATTAGGGCAATTAGGCTGAACAAATATAAGCCAAGCATAACTAAGCTTGTTGAGGTTGTTTATTATCATAATTTCACAACTGGAATTGGTTCCACAGCAGCAGAAGTTTCACAGTCAGCCTAGTTAGACAAGCTGAAAACAGTATCTCTCCCTTATGAAATAATTTTAAAATGTGAATAAGCAAAATACAGAAACGGATGATGTTGAAATCAACCAATAGCAAGACTGATGCCTGGGGCACCCCTGTACTAAGAGTGCAAATACAAGAACAGGTAACAGACAGTACTTTAAGTTTGCTGCTAGAAGAAAATGCAGCATAAATACTGCAAAATTACATCCTTAAAATATCACACCAGTACTTTTCAAATCTTCCAGAGATACTTCAGTTAGATCAGTTTCTTCAGCTATCCAAGAAATCAATTCTAGATTATTGTTTGGCAACTGGGAACTTCATATGTACTTTAAGAACAGGTTTATTTTTGCTGTTCTTCACACTTCAACTCCTGCAATGTTGCTAAGCTACCACCTGCTGTTCAGCAAGTACTCTGGCTAACGTGGTCTCTCCAAATGGATAGATTCATTAGTGCAAAAAACCTATTGTTTCAATTGATTTGGAGGAAGAGTTATGAATTAGTTTTAGTTTTAATAAAAGTAGGAATCTAATTCTCCACTGCAAAATAGTTATTACCAGAACAGAGAAATTAATAGTAACATAAATGTACTTACCTTTCACTAGGCCCACTACTGCTCACTGTGAACATTTTCATTTTATCAAGAAATTGCCATTCTAGATCCTTCTACAGCTCATGTGAAAGTTTGTGTGTACGCACATTCAATAGAAAATAATTGGAAGACAAAAAGTAACACACCCACCAGGCAGGACTATCACATACTCTGAGAGATCAACGCTCAGCTTGTTTCCTGGCTTGAACTCTTGCGTGGCAGCATCTGGAGGTACAAGGTTTGAGTGGAAACAAAGTTAAGTTATCCTATATAAATAATGACACAAGCACACAATATGGTATGGCAATTATTAGTTATAACAATCTTGAAAGGAGAAAACAGACCTTGTCAAGTGCTGACTACTGTGGCCATCCTTTTATAAACCTGTCTTAGCAGCCAGGACTGCGAGGTTGCTGTTATAGCAATTATGCTGTTAGACAAATGTTTCTAGCTTTATCGTAATGTTGCAGTTGTGAATGTCAGTATCTAAAACGTCATCGCTGTTTCACAGCTTGACTCAAAAAGTCACCGACAGCTTACATACAGGACTACATCAACATTTAAATAGTTCTTGAAAAAGTAATAAGCTCTAGAAAGCTTTTAAAAACCCAGCCAACCAACCAACACAACTCACTCAACAAAAAAAGCCCGGAACAACAGAATGCTGCCATTCCCGAAGCTTCTACAATCCAACAACACAGCCAGGAAGTCAGAGGTAGACAATCTAATCTAAGTGCTAATTAATGAATTCAGGGGCAAGAACACCTTGTAGTCAACTACAAAATGGTCAAAGACTGTTACTGCTTCTCAAAACTTCTCATATAGAAGGCAATGCCCTTCTACAAAGAAAGAATACCAATCTTAACCATCATATGGCTGACCTAATAATATTCTTCTCCTTTTGTTAGGAAAACCTACAAGTACGAGGTGTATGGTCACCAAACTTCCTTTTTGATGAGGCTGTGGATCACACACCCTTCAGAGAGTATGAGATCTTTTATAAAGATCTACAAAGCTTGATAAAGCAACTCTATAAGTACAGTCTGTTCCCATCACTTGCTCTCATGCATTTCAAGAACACAGAAAGAAAGCAAATTAATAAGCTGCAGCTCTAACAGATGTAGCCCAGCTACGATAATATTCTTTTAAATAAGATGATGAAAAGAAAGAAATAGATTTCACCACCACCCCAAAAGATACACTAAATGCTTTATGCCACAACATGTTTTTACATGCTTGGAAAGTATCTTTATTGTCAAATATTTCATAATGCATTGCAGAAAAACATGAACAGTAGTTAGAGACTGATTCTGCCTAGTCACACAGAGAAAATTATTCTGGTTTTCGTAGAAGGAAAGGGGCTTGATTACATCTGCTGTTCATGGGTTGCAAAGATTCCCAATCACAATTGAGAAGATAGAGGAATTGGGCTACACTTTTAGCCTTGCCACTGAGAGATGCATTGGGTGGCAAAATTGACCACTGTAAAGTAGGAAAAGCATCTCTGAAAGCCTAAATCTCATCAGAATGACTCCTTCCCTTCCCTTGCATAAAATACTGAACTCTCAGGTGAAGATCTTAAATGCATGCCTCCGAGCTGCAGCTGAGAGGATCTGGCTGTGCTGAAGGAGGCCCCTGCTAGTGGTTTGCATCCAAAGGTTTAAGCAGAGGTACACCTGCCTTTTCAAGTTGTTGGCCAGTTTCAGAAAACATCCTCTCCAGCTCACAGCACAAGGAATTCTGTGCCACTGGCAATCACCCTTCTCCTGGCTCGTTCCACCCGCATTTTCATATTTTCCCTCAAGCTTCAATCAGTTTAAGTAAAATAAACCTGTATATTAAAGTGTTTTGTATGGAAGAACAGAACTTCAGGCTATTTCATTTGGTGTTGTTAGCAGTAGGTTGTTGTCAATCTTAACTGATAGTACAAAATGGCCTTTTAAGCAGAGAAATCAAAGCTGTCTTTAGCAGTAGACAATAGTCCTGTTGGCTCTAGACAAGAACAAAACAAGCCTTGATCTCTGCCCCATGGAGAAGTAGACTAGTCCAAGTGTTTACCCAGGAAATGATATCAAGGCTGAAAAGTTCTGGCAGATCTTAGCCTGCCTGTGTGCACAAACACTTGGACAGCATGCCAGGGCTGTCACAGAATAGCTGAGTTTATGTCAGTCCAGTACACACATCATTTTCACAGAAATCCCTCGCAATGATACATTCAGAAGGCACAAGTGCTAGTTCATATGGCATATCCAGCCAGAAAAAAACTAGATAGCCTTTAAAGTGTCTTGCAACAAACAGGATTTTCACAATGACTTTCTTCCTCAATTCACATATCAAACGAAAATATTCAGATGAGATCATACTATATGAAACATTTTCTGTATTTCATGTAGGTCTATGTGTGTTTATGTATGTAGAGAGTTATTGAATCTATTAGCTATTGCACTCCTAGTTCTCACATTGTGCTAGAAAGCTCAGAAGATGAACACCAGATAAATACCATTACTTCATAAAAATCCCCAACTTGTAGGTGAAATAACTTGCCAGAAATTGAGTTCACATACAAATATAACTTGGCTCATGTTTGACTTGCACTACTCAACATGAGCTTTGGGAGACAGTGCTGAAATTTTGATTCTCTGATCTTTATGGAGAAAGAAGCAGAACCAATAATCACTGGTTTCCTGTCCTGCCTGGAACTTATTCTCAGCTCCCAGTTAAAAATACAATTATGTATAAGGGACAACAGACAGTTTTGACACAGCCGTAACTAAGAACAATGAAGCTAGCAGACACAGTGATGCAAGGGTATTTTTTATACCTTTCACTAATACTCAGGCATAAGGAGCTCCCATATTTAAAACTTAAGGCTAGAACACAACCTCCCTGCAGTGGCACGAGCTGGGCACTGCCTGACCTCCAGGGTTATTGCCTGCTCTTAAAGCACATATTCCTAAGGGCAACAGGTCACAAAACTGGTAATTGCATAGCTTTTCCCAGTTCTGGAGATACTTATGACACTCAAGCTCTTGCAGTGGCTTGAAAAGACCTGTGCTGTATCTACTTCTGCTTCTTCCAAAAAGTCACAATCTTATTTCAAGAGACTTAAGTGTGAAAATGTTGACTCTGTATGACAGATATCAATAGGAAAAAGGACTATAGTTTTAAGTGTACTGAAATAAGACAATTACCAGATGATTCATGTCCAGTCACGGACATCTTAGTCACAGAATTCACCTGAGTCTGATTGGAATCTTGTGTTGTCATAGCTGGATCTAAAAGAAACAAAACAAAACACCAGAAAAAGTTTAAAGAAACTTTGAGTTAGAAAAAGTTACTTCAGGAAAATAATCCCAGCAGAATGTCCTCACCTCAGCCTTTTCTCCCCAAGTTCTGAGCATACACATTAAAAAATTCACAAGAATTGTTTTTTGTTAGCTCACTTTAGGCAAGAGAAGATTAAAGAATGGAGGCAATATTTATTTGATCCCTAATTTCTGTATAGAGTTATTTTCTCGCAGTTAGCTTACCAGCTGGCAAAGCCACTCCTCAGAATGTTACAGCAACGTTTTAAGTTGTACTCATATCCTTTGTGTTCATAGGCTTAAAACACCACTTATGCCACTGACATTGGTCAATTACTTTTAATACAGATTAGCAGATTTTCCAATAGACTACAGACTTCCTTACAACTTTACAAATCTAGTGTGATGAACAAGCAATGAACACACCTCCGTTGGTTCCATTACCACCACAGTAAACAAGAGAAAAGACATCTGTATCAAACAGTGACTTCAGTATCCCATACTAAGAAATATTTCCAGTTTACCTCAGTGCCACTGCAAATCTGATCCTCCTCCTACAATACAGTTTTTACAAGAACCATTTAAGACTCTAGTCTGCTTTGTGTTCTTGACTGGAAAAAGAACAGCAACGGAAGAGGCAAAGGACCACTTGGTTAGTAGTTGTGTCAGTCTTTTAAGAAAATCAAGATATCTAGATGTTTTAGAAGAATGGAAGCGTGCCCTCATTCCTTTATTCCCACCTTTGGGTGTGAGAGCTAGTGTTTATTTTAGTTATCTTCACTGACAAAGGTATTCCAAGACACATTTTAGTGCCATAGCACTCAGAGAGAGTGATTCAGCCACACACGGAAAAAACATGTATCTTGCATTTGTAATTAAAGTCTTTGGCAGGAGGGTGGAATTGGGATCACGAACTCTTCTGGATATCCAAGACAGCAAAGAACATGCACAGATCACAAAATCACAGAATATTCTGAATTGGAAGGCAAGGCTCCAGTCTTAAGTGAACAGTGAAAAGCTGCATCACATTTTAAGTGCATTCAAACTTGAGAACCACAGGCCTTCTGCAGAAGGTGAAGTCAGAACTGTGCCATTTCCTACAAATGAACATTATTAACAGTCCTACCCCATTTCAGCAACAACAGGGATAGACCAACCCATAGATTCTCCACCGGCACCTCCAGCACACAGTTACTCCATCACAGCCATGGCTGGTTTACACCATTTGCTGTCTCAATCTGCCCATACTTGAAACTCCAACCACTTTGGACTACGAGTAAAACACAGTTGTCAAAAGATATTATAAGAATTAAACATTAGTGGTTCTTAACAGCAACCCACTTTTTTATCAGTCCACTGGTCCCACAGCCAGCTGCTCCTTCCCAGCCCTTCAGTTGAGAGAAGAACTTAAAAGATCTGTTCTGATGGTGTGCTGGCTCATGAGCCAGATGCTAAGAAGACTGAGTCTTATTCTTTGCCTGACAAAGGTACTGAGCAGAGACAGCTATTATTTTTCTGATATTCATAGTACAACTGAAGAAAGATTTCCATGAATTTTCTTATCTGCAGCATCTTGAGACGTTCTAAGTATGTCATGGATCACCTCCATATTAATTAAAATCCCCAAAGATGATAAATTTAGAAGGTGCCAGTGCCAAGCTGTACAGCAGCACTGTTATCTCTCAGCAATGAAGGCAGATAACCTGCAATGTGGTTTGCATACTAACAGGGTTCTCATCTTGGCTTTCTTCCTTAATTCATGTAGCAAGTGAAAGAAGTAGTGTTATTTTTGTCACCCCTGCTTATGTATCTTTTCACCTTACCTGTGCACACATCAAACTACACAGAACAGAGATAACACTGCCCCACACTCTTCCTCTTATATATACTTACTGAATAGCACTGGAGATCAGCATGGGCCAACACAGCACCTTTAGTGTCATCCAGCCAGGCAATGATGTAAGCAAGTCGCGTGGAGCAACTTCTCAAACTATTGAGTCATGGCTGCACGCCTCAGCCTACAGTAGCTTTGCACTAGATTTAATCAATAGTGTGGTAGCTTGTAGAGGTCTCTTTTCCTTGATTTTCATGCAGCAAGGAATAGGAAAGAGTATGATATAATGAATTTAGTTTTCTACACTACTTCTGCTTCATATGGCAGTTGGTATTTTGGGGCAAAAAAGTATGGATGTACCATGCCTACTACTGCTAGAGTAATTTCAGGCTTAATCTACTTGCTCTCTTCCAGCCAGAAAAGCAGCTGAGTAAGAAATGACTGAAATACAATTTGGTTTAATTTACCATCTTTATTTTACTATTTAATGTAATATCGATAATATACTTTTTAAGATCACATGCATTCAGTAGCACCCAAAACCATGCAGCAGAACCCTCCTCATGCCCCAGAGACATCAGAGAATCAACATCAAGGTCTCCCAAATACCCTGATAAAAGCTGCACCCTCAGGTCAAACCTGAAAAACCCAACTTGGAAGCAAAGTCTGTAAGGAATGAGGTGTGTTCTGTGCTCATAGCTCCTTGAATTCTTCAGGAGCAGAAACTGAGAGATGAAGGTGAGTGATGGGATGGTTTGTCCTAAATCAATATGACAGCACTTGCTGCAACTACACTAAGACAACCACAAAGGTAACCCACACAATGCAGCAAGCTCTGAACAAGTGTTCTGACACTTGGTTAGAAATTACCCTTAAATCAATACAAAATAAAAGCAATAGTTTAGATTCCTCCAAAACAAGCAACTAAACAGTTACATGACTAAGATAACAACATAAAGATCATCTTCAACATATTATCTCAATATAAAAATCTAATAGGGCTTTTGCAGCATCTGCATGATCAGCCTGCAGACCATGCAATTCACCTTTCCACAACTCAGTCTGTGTGTGCAAGTGCTCCCTCTGCTTACTTTTACTATAAGCATTTCTTTTGGATGAAGCACCGTCACATCTCCAAAGCAAACACAGTTTCTGGACTTCACTGGAAAACAGTTTTAAGTTCTTCTACCTTCAGGTGTCATGAACTTCCCTTTGCTGCAGCTGTGTAGAGAGCTCCTCTGCTCAACTAGCTTCATACACATTTAGTTAATAACCAATGAAAGAGTAAACTACCGTTTTTTCACTTAAATCATCAAAGAAGTCACAGTATGATGCCTCCCTATCTAGTTCATACAGCTGTAAAAACATTTACTAGAAGTCTGGAAAACAACACCTTCACTCTGTACAGATGAGAAGTACTAAAGCTAGTGGCTCATTTCTGAAGTCTGCTCTAAACCATGATACTCCCCACTTTAGGGAGATGGTAGATTTGCAGAGTTTTTGGAAACACAAAGAAGGTTTTGCTGTTTGATCACTGGTTTATTTTGTTTCTTCCCACAAGAGGCTATAATTTCATTTCACCAATGGCTTTACATAAACTTAAAACTGCTTCAACCACCATCAGGTATGGATTTTGGTATTAACAGCTATCAAAAATAATTGTCTTATGGGAATTCGCCACATGCTAACTCACACATTTCTACAAATATCAGACCATTTGCACTCAAAAAGCTCCTCAAGTAAACTGCTAGAAATGATGTCAAGTTCTGTGTGTACATGTATTTTAAAGAAGACTTAAGAACTACTAAGTAGATTTTTGTCTTTGTACATACTTAAATACTCATTTCAAACAAGACTTGAGAAGTACAAAGTATGTTTCCTTTCACATTATGTGAAACTACTATAAATTTTAGAAAAGGTAACATCACCTAGGGAGCACTAGTGGTCTTCTCGGTACTAGGAAGCGCAGCAGAGGCGGAAGGAAACATAACTGCTTCTATTTCACACACTGAAAACGCAGCTAAACCACAATGAGTTCAAGTCACAGCATTGATGTTGACATACAAGTATGTATATGCTCACATACAGAGGACAGAACTTTTGGCCATGCCAAGACCTACTCCAAGAATCTCACCCTGGACAGCAAATACCAGCCATCTTGTAATTCCTGCTATAATAATTTTTTACTAATCTGAAATGCCTCAAAAAGAAGAAAAAAATGGCAGACATCCACTAGTTTTAGGCATAAGATCGTATTTCCTGAGAAAGAACTGGCCTGCTGCTGAACTGCTGAAAGCCTCTAGAGGAGGAACAGGACCCAGAAAGCTCAAGCCTGTCTTTCTTCAAGATTTTAAATGCTATATTTAAAAACGCAAAAACAAATCCCAAGGGGCACCCCTTATAATCCATGAGGCACACTGACACCCTAGTGTTTTGCGGGTTTTTTTCATTTAAACACTTTACTCAGCAAGGACATGACAGAAATAAGACACAACACCACACCTTCTCAATGCTGCACCTGTGAGCCAATAAACACTTCTGTAAGTGAGGGAGAGGGTGCTGAGGTTAGGGGACGGCTGATCGCCGATACGGCTCTGCCCATCTGCGGCCGCCCACGGCCTCGGTGCTGGGGGACAGCGAGCGCGGATCCTCGCTGTCCCAGAAGAAAGAACCCTGATCTCCTGAGGGAGACAGGGGCGCCAGGAAGGGTCGGGGTCGCTAAGAAAAAGAAACGCCTCAGCCGCTCCCACAGGCAAGGCCGAGAGGCAGCTGCCGTGCTGAGGCAGCGCTACGTCCCCCGAGAACCGGGGGGATGCTGCGGAGTAAGGAGGACCTTTGCTCGCAGGCGGTGCTCCGGCCCCCCCGACACGGAGGGCGGAGGGGACCCAGCCCGGGGAGAGTTTACATTTACCTGCCGAGTTCCCGCCCGAGAGGCTGGTGCAGAGCAGAAGCAGCAGCAGGCGCACCAGGCAGCGCCCGAAGAAGGTGGCAGGCATGGTGCCCCCGCCGGGCTCCCCTGCCTCGGCCCGGAGCCGCACCCCGCGGGCTGCACCACCTGAGGAAGCCTCAAACGGGCCGGAGGGGCTCTGCAGGAGAGCCAGCTACTACAGCAGTGACGGGAGTCAAATGCAAAGCAAAGCTGCTCCAAATTCACTGGGACGAAAAAAACAGGCCAAAAAAAAAAAAAACCGCCAGGAAGAGGCTGTTGCCACAACCGCTGCTCTTCGCGTGAGGACGTGCTCCGAGGCGACCCCACCGCACTTTAAGTGGCGGAGAAAGGGCGGGGGCTCCCACCGGTGGCTAATTGGACCGAGGCCCTGGGGCCTGAGCCGCCTCGGAGACCCTCAGGGCGGCGGGAGGCTGGCGGGGTGGGTAGGGACCCAGGATCGGGACTTATTTTTGGTCCAGAGGGACGGTGGCTGCAGGAGCAACTGGGCCGGGGTAACGCTCGGCGGCAAACGGCTTCGTTAGGGCTTGCGCGGGGAAGATCGCCTCGGGCAGAACGTGTGTGCCCCTGGCCTTTGGCTGGTGATCTTCTGGAGAGCCCAGCTTCTAGGGTCACTGCCTCCAGGACAGCTGGGTTATACTGTATGGGAGCTGCGACTATTTTGCATCCCTTTTTCTAAATCTCCCACCTTGTACAATGGTGACCCGGGAGCACAATTTCTGGCAAGCTCCTCAGGTTTTCGATTAGGGCTAAGTGAAATTGTTTACACGTTTTTCTATATGTGTGTGTGCTTACCTAATAAGCCCACTCACATGTGTGTGTATATATTTAGAGATGTGCTTTATATGCATTTCTGTTTATTGCTTGGTAAATAACAATGCTGGTATTGCGAAATGAACTCCAGCAAGGTGGCATTCTCTGAAAGAATAACTTTGTGATGGGGTACTTCCTGCTTCTTCCTTCCTGCCAGCTTCAGCTAATGCAGAGGGTGAGTTGTGTAAGAGTTTTGTATCTATAAAAAAGGTCACTGCAAAAAAGCGTTGTTGTCATCTTAGCTGCCCATGCTGACAGAGCTGTCAGAGTTTATGCAGAGTAAATGCCCTGTATGTTGATTTTCCAGCACTAGACATGTTCATGCTTCCATCCATATTTTCCAATACCTGTACAGTAACCTTCAGAATAAAATTTTATTTCATAAAGACTCCCAGTAAACACAGCTAATGGCAAAAGACTGGGAACAGGACTGTTTCATTAGGCCCTTTGTTGTGTATTCAGGTGTACTCACAATGCAGTGTGCTATGAGGAGAGATTGAACCCCCCATGACTGTTAATCTGTTTTGCCAGTTTGCAAAAATGCACGGAGTGATGAGATTCAGAGAGAGAATCCAACTCAGATAAAGCTGTTTAGGAATGGTAGATGATCTTCAGGTTTTAATAGGAAAAAAACTGGCTAGCACTTGAAAGCTGTTTTATCTGAACCAGTTAGGACTGAAGAGACTTACCTCTTGGTAGTGAGGGAGGGTGAGGGAAAGCAGAGGAGAGAGACGGGAAGAAAAAGAGAGGGAGAGGCAGAGGAGAGGGGAGTGTCAACTGCCTGAAGATATGGAAGGACTGGCTTGTAGTTCCAGTTAGCTCTCCCTGGAATGGGTGAAAAGAGAACTTTTTATTAACTTTCTTTACTGGTTGAGTATGCAGCACCTTTTGGTAAAACAGATTTTATCCACCTGGAATCAACATGGATTGGTTGGTGGAAATATATGACTAAGCACTGGGGGCTGGCACAAATGGATCTGCTAGGGCAGTCCCATCTGGGACCTAGCTGTAGCTTTGTCAGCTCTTAATAAATGGAAACTGTGGAGGTTCAGATGGAGACAATTTGTTTTGAGTGACTTGGTGTTTAGTCTTGTATAGGACTAGACTGTTTTTTCCACCAAGTTAACTTTGGTGAGCAGTCAGAAGACATGATGAACATCTTTGCAGGGCTTCATTTTAGCTCTTGTCATCTTATATCCCACACTTGCTGAGTTGAAAGAAAACAATTATTAAACTGCTGCTGAGGGAGCTGGTTTTTTCTTTACTCATGGTATAAGGTACAGAAGCCATAAATGAAACAGTATGAGAATGGAACAGTAAAGAGAAAAGCAAAGGCAAGAGGAAGGATGGCAGAAGGAAGGCAAAAAAGAAGCAGAATTTAGAGGAACTGGTCAAGCAACCAAACAGCCCTCTGAGGGTTTCCGTGCTCCAGTGGCTGCCTTAGCATTATAATATGATTAGATTAGATTACCAGATTAGATTATTTACTAAGAACTACAGCTGTATTTGGTTAGATCATTGAAAAAGCGAGAGGTTTCAGAAATTAAAAGGTTAGTGATAACAATGGTAAAGTAGAATATTTGGGATATTAAAAAAAAATCAACTATTAGCTTGCATTTGGAAACACTGTCTGGCCAGTAATTAGGAATTTCAGGAAAAGTATTTACATACCAAGTCTAATCTACTCCATTCATTCATCTGCAGTGTATTTTCCTCTTCTCTCACTTCCACAGAGAAAGTTTGACTTATTCTCACATGGTAGTTACTTGGCAAATGTGACAATTGTTTTGGAACAAGAATTCATATGTTGCACCATACTCTGGCTTATAAAAAACCTTATATTTAATAAAATCTCTGATACAGGGAAATTGCTTGTTTATTCAGCTGATTCAGGAAGATCTTTGCTAAACATTTTCGTGGCAAAAGGAAAGTAAATTAAACTCTGAATACTGATACATGCTGATTATTGGCTAAATAAAAATGCGGATTGTAATTTGTGCTTTTACAGTTTGTTTTCAGTAACAACCAAATCCTATGTTCTCAAAGCCCAGTCTTTGGCATTCATTTATTTCTTTTAAAAACTGAAACAGCTAAATAACCAAAGGACATATGTGATCCAGCAGTTTTCTTTGTTGGAGGTTTGCTTTTTATAAAATCAACTCAGATTGTGCAAAGGTAACTGATGTGTATCTCAGAACTGTGAAAAAAGAAGGAAACAAGCAAAATGGACTTAAAACCACTTCAGGTGGAAGTTGGCTTCAGGGACAGTGCTTAGCAGCTTTCAATGTCTAAAGCTGAATCATCAGGACCTTATTAGACTTTAGATAGACTTTTTATTTGTTTTATGGGTATGACATTTTTAATCGTAAAACATGAGAATAAACATTAGTTAATAGGAGGCACAATTTAGAATTACTGTAGAAATAAGTCTTGCAAGCTCTCCAGGAAATAATTTTGCATGGCCAGGAGATAATGTGTTACTAAACTCTGGGTTACTATCAAAAGGATGTGCTGAAATAGATGTTATGCAACACAAGCATTGGGGAATTAGTTCTCCATTCTGTGGTAACAGTCAGATTATAATAAAATTTTTAGAAAACTGCAAAATGTGCATGCTTCTAAGAACCAAAGTAATATACTGAGTGCAAGTACAAGACTACAAAGCAGAATTTTATTGTCTCCTTTAAACATTTATCTTTTGCTTGCTCTCTTTTAACTAAACAGAGGTCTTGTCTGGATTCAAAATTACAGTTTATGCAATCTGCATACTCTGCAGCTGCCTTCTCTGCACTGTCTGCATCCTGCTGAGTGGCTGTAAATCCAAATATCTCCTGCTACCTCTTTGAAGACAATTTGCAAGATTAAGCATATAATCTCTATTGAGAATTCTGCCATTTGTGAAATGTTTAATGTTGTGTTCTACAGTCAGAGCTGTATATGAAACAAAAATTGGTGCTATAGTGCTTTGGTATCGTATTTTTTGAAAATCCTAAGTTGCTGCCAGTACCAATTATTGATATTTTTGATACTGATTATCGATACTGTCAATACTCAGTTGTTACTGAGGCTAACAGGGTTACCGTGCAGGGTTGCAGATTAGGCAGTAAAGGCTTTGTCCACATGGCAAACCCACCATCATAAGGAACTGGCATCTAAAAATTCAAACCAGATTTTTGGCAAAGAATTCTTTCGGCCTACCAGTCCCCTGCTTTCTGATACCTGAAAAATTTTAATTTTTAAAATGGAAAATATAATGAAAAAACCAGTAATTTGTTGAAAACACAATTTAAATTGCATCCATTATGTACAGACAAGAAATGTCCACAATCTGTTAGTTTAATGTAGAATTAAAGTTCACTGTGATACAAATGGATGCCAACTCATCACAGGGTTTGCTCTGCAAGCTGTGCTTCAAAATTTGCAGAAGATATTTTAAGTGACTCAAATAGGATCAGACTTCAAAGGAGGAAGGGAGGCAGTATCCTTCATTGCAGTAATATACATGTCAAAAGTATAAAAGCAGCCTCTAATCTGAATGCAAATTGAGAACAATTACTCTAATTGTAATTATGATGAAGGCACACAGGTGAGTCTCACCTACTGCTTTAATATCAGCATGAAGATCACCTTTGATAAGTCTGTCTTTATCACAAACTGTCCATTTTCTAACCTTTCAGACTTAAAAACAGCCTCTCTTCTATGGCAACAATAAAAAATCATGCGAATTTTATATATAATATAAATTATAAATAAAGGTATCCTCCATTCTGCTGCAGTATTTGCTCAATCATCACCAAGAAGCAGGAGCACTAAACTGCCTGAAGAATCAGGACTTACTTGATTGAATTTGGGCTACGTGGGGCTCGTGCTATGGGGTAGTCAATGTGTGAATGCTTTCTGTTTCTTGTGGGTATGGTGACAGAGTGTAGACTTTTTCTCATCCAAATTATGTGTTTTATGGTTTTCCATTGCTGGGGAGGTTTTGTAATTTGTTTGGGGTTTTTTTGGGGTTTTGTTTTTTTAAGTTGACAGAAACTCAGTTCCATCTTTTCTTTTTGTTTTCTTCTCTTTTTTTTTTCTTTCTTTTTTTTTTAATTTGGAAATATGTTTGTATTTCTGAAGATAAAACCTGAAGATAAGGCAGCATAAAATAAGTAACAAGTTAAGTGGCATAAGCCTTCCCTGGTGGAGAGAAGTAATCAAGTTAAATGCCACTCCATTTATTT